TGGCCCCCTCCCCCCATGCACGGGATGTTTAGAGAACCGCTTGGCCCCAATCCTCGGGCGAGCCGGGTAACACAAGTTTTACTGTCGTGTTTTTTTTTCTTTCAGAGTTTCCTACATGTGTGTATTTCTGGACTCCAACAATAGATGGGAAATTGGAACACTCTTCTAATATCCCGGAATAAGAAGCGATTATGCAGCGAAATCGCAGAGGAGTAGATGCTGGTCTTTTATTGCTACTTGCTCAAGTATTTCAAGTTGGGCTTGAAAACATTCCACCTGTAACACTTGGGACCCTAGGACTGAATGTTTTTCTGTTTTTGAAACCTCTGAAGCCACTGCCAAACGTGTGTATCAGTGTAGACCAAGGTTACTACCAGAAAGACTGGCAGCGTTTGCTGCTTGCTCCAATTCATCATGTAGATGATTGGCATTTATATTTTAATATGGTCTCCTTGCTTTGGAAGGGGATAAAGTTGGAACGTAAGCTTGGAAGCTTATTTTTTGGGTATATAATTGCAGTATTTTCAGTGCTGATTGGCATTGTGTATATGGTGTTGGAATTTGCACTTGCAGGACTTCTGAATGACCCTTCCTACAGAGTAAATTGTGCTGTAGGCTTTTCAGGTAAGGCATGGAGGAGGTATGGGTTAATTTATTGCGATGCACATGTATAGAATCTATATAGTAGTATATTAATATAGAAAAGGGATATATATCATGAGCGTGGATTAGAACAGATAATGTCCATCCCTATTTCTTTGCGTGCTTGTTAATGTATATATATATTACACTCTTGCTATGCTGCATGCACTTGAATTTTCATTTTCTGGGTAGAGGCATGATGACCCAAAGGACAGAGTTGTAGCCTCAGTGTACACTGCTGGCCAAAAGACTCCAAAGTTGAATTCATGTAGTCCATGCACACCAAGAGTGAAGTATATATGAGCAACATGTTTTGTAGAATTACAGTTACTGTAAAATGAGTAGTTTTCTTTTTCTGTTATACAAACGTAACCCCTCCTGTAGGCTAGTCCAGTGTGAGGTTATTCATGATAGGGGAAGCTTGTGACTTCTTACATCACTGTGGGGGCGGGAGTAGGCCTGAGGCTGGTTGGTGTGCTCTGCCTATTCCGACAAATCACCAGGAACAGGCTTTATTCTGTAAAAAACATAGAAAAGGAAAACAGTTCAGCAGCCCCTTCTCTCAGTATGCAGCCTGTGTGCTGCTTCTAACACAGTCCTTGCTGAGACCCTGCTGGGGGCAGAGGGCACATCCTGGCAGGAACCAGGAAGTTCTCCCAACATGCCGCAGTTTGTAGTCCACAACTTGTAGTTCCCAGGGCTGCTGCTGAAACACACCAGACCTTGGGCTACACAGATTTTACAGTTTCTGCACAAGGTCAACAGCAAATACTGTGGAAAAGGTTTAAGAATACTGTAATCTTAACATTCACACTCTTGGGGTCTTGTTTTTTCAGCACAGGGCAGAAAGAGAACTCCACTAGCTTTTACATCAGTGGTTCTTAGACTGTGGGTCAGGATCCTAGACTGGGCTGTGAGCCCATTTTAATGGGGTTGTCAGAACTGGCTAGCTAGGGCCCTGAGATAAAAGTTGAAGCCTAATTGCTGCTTCCTGGGATGGAAGCAATGTTTCCATTAAGTTTTTCCATCCATTTGTGGAATAAATGTGGTCATGTGCACCAATGCATGTGCAGATGTACACCCCAGTAAAAACACATGCTTCTGGCTCTGAGCACTGGGGGCGCTCTCTGCTAATCAGCTGGCCAGAATTTGAATTTTCCCCTGGGAGCCCACATAAGCACTTAGTTTACAGGGAACACTAGATGGAAGCCAAAGCTTGAGCCCACTTCCTGGCGCCAAAGCCTGAGGGCTTGAGCCTGGGCAATGGAGTTCTGGTTACAGGTACCCTGTCTGGATCTGAAACCCTCAGAGTCCAGCTTCGGTCTCTCCTGGCACTCGGGTAGGCTCAGGTTTTGGTTCCCTCTCCTGGGGTTGTTAAGTAATTTTTGTTCTCACAAGAGGGTCACAGTAAAGTGAAGATGTAGTACTTAAAATTACTGGCTATGGAGGAAAAACACCACTCTTTTTATTAAATAAGCCAATACCTCAGTTTTCTCTAGAACCCTTCCTACTTATTTGTTGACCAAGGGTTCACTTGCTAGTCTCTGCTGCTGCTCAGATTTTTTTTACCAACTGTGGCCACTCAGCGTTCTATAGTATCTTTGGTTAATCAGACCCAGTCATTTATTTTGGCCAGTTTGATTTCTCAATGCACTAAGTATATGTGTTCCCAAGGGATACCTTAAAATGCACTGGATGTTACCAGCAATTTTTGTTTTGGAGTTTTTCGCATTATCTGAACTCAACTATTTCTTTCTTGGTGGTGTTTTTTTTGTTTTATTTTTAGGAGTATTATTTGCTTTGAAAGTTCTTAGCAATCATCACCACCCAGGAAGGATTAGCAACATCATGGGAATTCGTGTATCCAGCAAATATGCTTGTTGGCTGGAGCTTGTGGCCATTCATTTATGTACTGCAGGGTAAGTTCATTAAATCATTTTCAATTCACATTAGAGATGTTAAATATCAGTTAATTTAATAGTTGATTAACCTTATGAATTCTTATAGATTAGTCAACTATTCTATAGTCCCCAGGCAGCCCCTGTCTGCGGGGGAGGGGTCTGAGCTCCTGGACCTGGCACAAGCTGGAACTGAGCCAGGCTGTCTGCCTACCTGGCTGCTAATACACTTTAAATGCAGAGCTGCAGCGGGGGTAGGTTCAGGACCCAGTGCAAGCCGGGACTGATCTGGGCTGCTGGCCAGCCTGCTAAAAAATTTACTGGCAAAGGGTGGGGGGGAAATGCATGTAGTCTGTAGAATTAACCTATAAGATTTTGCTTATAGGTTAATTCTATAGACTAGAATTATACATCCCTAGTTCACATTAAAAATTAGATCTATTTAGGGGTGCTTATGTTGTGACATATGAGCAGTGATGTCTAGTACTCAAAATAAATAGTGGAGTTACTTGTAGCAATCTACATCTCTTTCCTCCACACTGTGTATGTTGATCATACTTGTCAAAGTTAAAAAATGTAATACCTTGCTCATGGGAGTCTCTGAGAAGTGTGTTGGTTGAAAAGAACAAAGATTAGTTGGGAAAAAGAGGGGGGCACACTCTTCCTTTTCCCACTCACTCACCTTGCTAGAATGAAAAATTGGGATATATCACACTAAGGGGCTTGGTAGGTAAAACAATATTTATGCCTCTGTTACTTTTTAACTGTTCTTCTTTAGTACCAATCCCCTCTCCTCCCTCATCTAGCTCATTTCATCTTAATACCAGTTAAACTACAGCCTCACTGCTCACGTTGTATCCTGTACTCATTCCTCCCAACCCATCCATCTCTTTGTTTAGAATCTTCCTCCTCTTCCTTTTGGGCAGATTTCTAGAAAATTGGTTATAGATCAGCAGTATTGGGTTAATGAGTATTGTACAATTCCTTAACCATAATGGAAAATGGTAAATCCACCAAGTTTTATTACTAGTCTGTGATCACCATCGCGTTTCAGGAGGCAATTAGAAACATGGCACACACCAAAACAATCCCTGATCAAATACAACAATAGCCTAGGAAAAGTTCCCTGAGCTGGAAAAGAGGAGACTGAGAATTTAAATCTCCACTCTTAGTAATATTGAAATTCCTGTGGCATTTACTACCCCTACTATTGACTAGTGCCATGAACCCCCATCTAGGGGTACGTCTACACTTGCTCCCTAGTTCGAGCTAGGGATGCAAATGTAGGCAACCAAAATTGATAATGAAGCAGGGATTTAAATATTCCGTGCTTCATTAGCATGATCTCTCCGGCAAGTTACTCCGTTCAACAGCTGTTTAGAAAGTGACAAACCCAAATTTTATCATTGCACTATATTATATTTCATTGCGTCTAAATGATTGTACTATTTCAAACCACTGTATTACTCACATTGCTCTCTTAGCCTCTAAGATAGTATCCAGGTTCCTGATCACCTGTAATCTATTGCTGAATATTAAAATAGTTTTGTTACCCACTGTGTCAAATTCTTTTCTGGGGGCTGATCTCAAAAGGGTCTAATGTTTACTCCTGTAGCTCTGTAACAGGGTTGCACTCATCTCTCGTGAGCGCCGCCCTGACTGAGTGCATGTGCCTGCATTTTTGCTTTGTTTATTGAGGCTCTTTGGTGACTCAGCCCTCTAACCAAGTCTTTTACAGTCTGTGTGCCAAAATAAAACATACCCCTTCTGAGATACAAGTCCATCAAGGCCTCTCTTTGTGCCCTCTTCAATATCTCTGTTTGAAGAGTAGTGCCCCTTGGGGTTCCTTCCTAGAGGAATATTTTCTAGCCTATTTTTGCTGCTTCTGTCTAAAGGAATATTTCCAACATACCGATGTACATCACATTGACCTTGCACTAATCCCACAAGAGGAAGGCTTCTATGTGGACTCCTACAAACATGCACGGGCTGACATTGTCAGCAAACAACATCATATAACATATAACCTCAATCATGCAGAACGCAATGCTATGCACAGCCTCAAAACCAATTTTAACATCATAATCAGAGGCTGACAAAAGAGGCGCTGTTGTCATCATGAACAAAACAGATTATGAACAGGAGGTGACCAGGCAACTCACCAACACCAGATTCTACAAGCTTCTCTCCTGTGATCCAGGTGATTCTTTGGTAAAGAATTCCAAAAAAACCTAAAACAACTGTTCATGAATTCCCTCATGCTGCTCAGGGACAAATTTACACTAACTTCCCCCCTCCCCAATTCCAGATCAGGAGTTTTCTATCTGCTATCCAAGATACACAAACCTAGAAATCTTGAACGACCCATCATCTCAAGCATTGGCACACTTAGAACAGGATTATCTAGCTATCTTGATTCTCCTCAGACCCTATGCTGCCAGCACTCCTAGCTATCTTCGAAACACCACTGACTTCCTGAGGAAACTATAAAACATCAGTAAACTTCCTGAAAACACCATCCTGGCCACTGTGGACATAGAAAATCTTCACACCAACATTCTATATCAAGATGTAGTGCCCATCTTTAAAAAAGGGAAGACAGACAATCCAGGGAACTACAGACCGGCCAGCCTTACCTCAGTCCCTGGAAAAATCATGGAGGGGATCCTTAAGGAATCCATTTTGAAGCACTTGGAAGAGGGGAAGTGATCAGGAATAGTCAACATGGATTCACGAAGGGCAAGTCATGCCTGATCCATCTGACTATGACAAACCAGTCAGCCTTACCTCAGTCCCCGGAAAAATCATGGAGGGGATTCTCAAGGAATACATTTTGAAGCACTTAGAGGAGGGGAAAGTGATCAGGATTAGTCAACATGGATTCACAAAGAGCAAGTTATGCCCAACCAATCTGATTAGCTTCTATGATGAGGTAACTGGCTCTGTGGTTATGGGTAAGTCAGTGGATGTGACCTACCTTGACTTTAGCAAGGCTTTTGATACGGTCTTCCACGATATTTTTGCCAGCAAGTTAAGGGAATATGGATTGGATAAATGGACTGTAAGATGGACAGATGGTTGGACCCAATGGGTTGTGATCAATGGCTCGATGTCAGGTTGGCAGTCGGTTTCTAGCAGAGTGCCCCAAGAATTGGTTCTAGGACCGGTTTTGTTCAACGTCTTTATTAATGACCTAGATGAGGGGATGGATTGCACCCTCAGCAAGTTTGCAGATGATACTAAGCTAGGGGGAGAGGTAGATATGCTGGAGGGCAGTGATATGGTCCAGAGTGACCTGGACAGATTGGAGGATTGGGCCAAAAGAAATCTGATGAGGTTCAGCAAGGACAAATGCAGAGTCCTGCACTTGGGATGGAAGAATCCCAAGCACTGTTACAGTCTGGGGACCGACACTACTACAGGCTAAGTAGTAGTTCTGCAGAAAAGGAGCTGGGGATTATAATGGATGAGAAGCTGGATATGAGTCAACAGTTCCCCTTGTAGCCAAGAAGGTTAAGGTCATATTAGGTTGCATTAGGGGGAGCATTGCCAGCAGATCTAGAGAAATGATTATTCTCCTTTATTCAGCTCTCGTAAAGCCACATCTGGAGTATTGTGTCCAGTTCTGGGCCCCTCACTATAGAAAGGATGTGGACGCGGAGGGCAACCAAAATGATTAGGTGGCTGGAGCACGAGACCTATGAGGAGGGACTGAGAGATTTGGGTTTGTTTAATCTGAAGAAGAGTGAGGAGGGATTTGATAGTAGCTTCAACGTCCTGAAGGGAGCGTCCAAAGAGGATGGAGAGAGGTTCTTTTCACAGTAGTGACAGATGGCAGAATAAGGAGCAATGGTCTCAAGTTACAGCAGGGGAGGTCTAGGTTGGATACAGGCAGTCCCCGAGTTACGCGGATCCGACTTTCCGCACTTACGAACGGGGCTTTTCTCGCTCCGGAACTCGCGAGCGGCGGGACCACCCAGACGCGCAGTGGTCCCGCCACCGCGTCCTCCGGGGCGAGAAAAGCTGCTCTGGGTGTCCCTGGTCTGCTGGGGGGGGGGGGCCCCCGCCGACCAGGGA